TTAGACAACTTATAATTTTCATATTTTTTTCCAAACAGACCTGCACATATATAACGTCTTGGGCTTGTAGTCCAGAGTTATGAGAGTAGAAATACTTATTGCCTCGTTTATATGGAGCACCATAACGTGGATGATCAAAGAGCTTTGTAACTCTCTCTCGAATTTGCTCCCGAGTATTACATTTTTTAAGCACTGATTCACACAATTCAACCTGCTTCTGCACAAACTCCTTTGTTTCTGCAGAATCAGGATCTTCAAGCCTAAAATGAAAAAAAAAAAAAAAAAAATCAGCTAAATGAACATTTTCTTCACAACCAAACAGATAAAAGAACAGTCCTATTAACAACAATTAACCTCAATCAGAATAATCTAGAACAATCAAGTTCAATAAAAAAAAGAAGAAGATGAAGAAGAAGAAGAAGAATAACAACAACAACAATAACAATAACAACAACTGCTTTCAAATTCAGGCACAGGCATCGATCAAAACATATCGATTAGATCTCCACCAAAACAGAGAATTCACAAACGCTTGGTTCAGTCACGAAATGCAATCCAGACACAGGTAGAGAGATAAAAACTTAACGATTAGGTCTCCACCGAAACTGAGAATTCACAGATGCTCGATTCAGTCACGAAATGGAACTTACTCCTAATAGAATAATGAAGAGCAATCAAATTCAATCAAGAACAACGAAGAAAATCGATTTTGAGTTGGAAACGCAACTATGCATAAAAAAATCTCCATTCAAACAAATAAGACACAAATGCGAGTTCAAATACCATCGGTAAGGATCGGAAATCTTGACGCCGTGATAATCGTTGACAACAGACTCGTCTCTCCGAGCAATCGGATATTGCAGCGGCTGGTCCAAGGCAGAGAGCGATCCCATTGAATCTAGCTTTTGAGGATTTTTGGTTGCTGTGGATTTGAATCTGTTTGGCTGAAAATCTGAGCGAAGGAGCGCTTATATAAATACAGGGAGAAGGAAAGGGAGACATTGGAGACGGGACGTAGAGCAGAGAATATTAATCGAGAGCATGAGGTGCGTGTGGCGTGCGCATAAAGGCCTTCCATTTGGGTAAAGGAAATTTCAACGCACGTTGTTTACTTTGTTGTCATGATTCTTTGAATTTTTTGTGTCCCGTCCATTAATCCTGTTTTTCTAAACTGAACTTTCAATGGGGTTTTTTTGATTCTTTGGAATTTATAGGCTACGATGCTTTTTTTTCCCTGATTCTTTGGCTCTTTAATCCTGTTTTTCTAAACTGAACTTTCAACGAGGCATCTTTCTCTGATTCTTTGGAATTTTGGGGCTCATTAATCGTGCTTTTATTTTTTATTTTTTATTTAACATTTACTATCAAAATTTTCGAATAGCTGGCTTCCATGCACAAGACAAGACTACTCACATTAATCTACTATATTTAAAAAAATTATTTTATTTCAGTGTTAATTTTAAACCTTAATTTAAACTTTAAGATATAAAGCAGTATTTGTTACTGTTTATTACTAGATTTAACTAGAGTTAGGATTCGAATCTGTTTTGGCAGAAAATCTGGGGTGAAGGAGCGTGTATGAATACAGGGACAAGGAAAGGGAGTCTTCCTTTTTTTAAAAAAAAAAAAAATTAAAGGTAGCCATTGGAGGCGGCTTGTAAAGCACTAAAGCGGAGAGTGTTAATCGAGAATATGTGGCGCGTGTGCGTGTGCATGAGGTAAAGGAAATTTCAACGCCAGTTGTTCTAAACTTCCAACGCGTGTTTTTCTAAACTGAACTTTCAAGAGTAATGGTAGAA